AGATCCCTACTGATAGGGTTTACACATGGTAATGCAGACGCCCTGTCTCGTAGACCAATACCGGCAGAGAGAGCTAATGTTGTAGCGAATGCCATATTCCTGTGGTTACTTGTCTACTCGTACAAACCCACAGCGAAAGCAATGACCTCGTCAACCAAGACTGTTAGACAAATGTGGCAGGCCTGGTTGACACTCTCGCTAGAGGAGGAGATGCTATTGTACATAGATGGCGTTGGAGCTCACAAGCACCCCATGGTCACTGGCTTATTATGTCAAACAGTTTGTCAAGAGTTGCATGAACGACTGGGCTACATGGGGATGAAGAAGATGTTGTATGAGTCAAGCAACAGGTAATGGTGGCCTGTGCTCACTTCCGCGATTTATACATCACCAATGACATCAGGGAATTTGTAAGGTAGTGAACAGGTGAAAAGAGGGCCTCCCACACCGATTGGAATGCTGAAGACACTTACTAGAGATGTAAAACAGGAAGACTTGCGATTATGCCTTGGGAAATGCATCCTTGTGTATGGTGCTACAGTCCATATGTCAGCCGGAGAGTCACCGTCTGGGATGCTCACGACTAGTAAGATGTGAGCGCCAAGTGACATTTTCTTACCGGACGTCGAAGCGGCAAACTACAATGTTTCTGACTACGTACTGTGGCTGAGAGGAGGGATGAGGTAAACTGTCAATGCGTATGGGAGCACGAAGAACTGCCATATATCAGGCGAAAGAGATATTATGACAAACAGTCAGTCCAACGGCTATAGAGAAGTAGACCAATTACAGCTATACACGCCAATTGAACAACAACAACAAATGGCAGTTTCTGCAGCGTCCAGTCACATCTTGGTCCAAACTGCCTTGACAAACAGGATAGCGATGATAGCAGATAACACAGACCAAGTCAGGATCGGGTCATCACCAACCAAACAGACAGAGGTCTTTATTTTTCTAGGTGTAGCAGGCTACCACCGATTTTTCGCTAGGATGGTCCTATCACTTCATACGGTTCTGAAGGATGTCTAAGAGAGAGAATGAGCACGCCCAAGCATTTCATATAGTGCACCAAATTCTTTGTTGCCCACAGTTTCGGGTTACGCTTAGCTTTGATTCAGGTGTCTCGGTATTGTTTCAAGACACTGGAGGTAGTGATACAACTCGAGGAGGGTGCACCCTCACAAAGGGGTGGGGGGGGAGGCTACAGCAGGGAACGTCATTGTCTACACGGATGACAGAGTCAATATAAGTGGGTGAGACAGACAAGCGCCATCCATTGCGAACAATTGCCAAATGCTTTACAACTGTCAGACATTGGCTAACAGCGGGGTAGATCACACTGAAACGTCTCGTCCCTTCAGAACCCTGACTTACATCTGAAGAACCTGGCAGAAGGCCCTGAAAACTTAAACGAGAGTTGTTTTTTCACTTCGTCGGAACTCCAAGTGCCGTTACCCACTTCTAAACCGCCCTTACAGCTGACCATAATGGATGGCCCATTCGAGTAAATGCGTCCAGCATAACTTGTACGCTCAAGTTTACATTCTCGAACTCTCTCTAGATGGCGTGATTGCCATCTCTACTGGTGAACTCCGGCATCTTATTCCGGTATCCATTCGATCGGTCCCATTTACTTTACCGCTTTAGATTTCTTACCGTCTCGAAGCGCATCTGCCGCTGATTCATCTGACTGTGAATACAAAAGCATGTGCCGCAGTGGGAAAAGATCTGGATCCTCTTGAAGCGGTGTAAAGTGCGCCGCTGCAACATATCCACTCCCTATACATTCCACTTCTCCTATTTACGTGATAAACACATTCATCGGAGCATTGTTGTTTCCCTCCCTTCTTTCAGTGGATTCACCTGTATGTCAACTGAATCTGATCATTTTATACGTTGTCCTCGAGCATTCCGCATGAAGACTGAGTTTTGCTGACAGTAGTACAAACCTTAGCTGAATTGGGATATGCGTATCTGGAGCGCTTGCTAGAATCCCAACCTACAGTGGGTGGCACCTCGTTTCTAACCTATTCTAAGATCTTCATCTTCTGCCTGGGTGTAATCACAGGAAATCCATCGCTCAACAATCAGTCACTGGCGGTTTCGTAGAACCTCGTCATCATCAACTGAAAGCTGCTATTATGGGTAACCCAAGACTGCAGTAGACCTTGATGTCCTATAACATCACTGTCAGAATCAGCAAAGTGTTGAAAGAGGATGTCCACTTTTCCTCCTCTGAGGCAGTATTTGGTACTCCACTTTGCTTCTCTGGTTAAATACTTATTCATCTTTCTACTACCCGCAAAGCTGAGACTACTCCATACTCTAGTTGGATGAACAACTGGGCTACATAGGGCTGAAGAAGATGTTGTACGAGTCGAGCAACGGGTAATGGTGGCCTGTGCTTATTTTCGGGATTTCTAGATCACGAATGGCATTAGGAAATTTGTAAGGTAATAAAGCTTTACATTAGTTATAAAACAGAAGACTTGAGAGCTAGAGTTCATACATCAACCGGAATTCCACCTTTTAAGGTGCTCATAGGTCGCAAAATGCGATTATCAACTGATTTTTTCTTACCGAATATGGAGGTAGTATACTACAATGTTTCTGCGTGCGTACTGCAGCTGAAAGGAGGGATGCGGTGAGCTGCAGATATACACAGGAGCACTAAGAACTGCCATGTATCAGGCGGAAGAGATATTATGACAAACAGTCAATCAAACGTCTACAGAGAAGGAGGCCTATTACTGCTAAACAGGCTGATTGAACAACTTGGCGTACACCTCAAGTTCTGTCATCTAGGAGCGAAAATGCATTCCGCGTGATGAAGACCACCTCGCCAACAAAATACTCCGTCTGAAATGCCCAACTCCGAGCTCAATCATTTACCATTCATCACAACAAGATGCTCGCGTACATGGTCACTCTTTCGGTGGGCTGCTAATGATGGATAACCGTCAAACTCAGACAGGCTTCTACCTACAACTGCGTTCGCGGAATTCCGCTGTAAGGATATCAACTTGCTCAGTGAGCTAGTAAGGTTAGTGAAAAAGACTCGTCAGGATTCGCTCACGGCCCCGCTTTACAACCATCACAACACGCAACCAATGCAGACACCCTTGTATTGAGGTCCTTCTCGACTTACAGCAAAACTTGGTAATATCTTCTTTCCTCATCCTGGATGACTCCATATTTCTTCCACACATTCTTACAAGTCCCACGCAAACAGAGATACTTCATTTAAGTGAGAGCTTTTGTTTAATCCTCCCTTTCAACAACACATAACTTCTTCTTTAAACTGATCTCCTTAATGCAGGTTTGTGAGACCGGTGGTGGAATGGAGAAACGACAGAATTATTACACTGATGGCAGCGTCACCAAATCTATTTTCTCCACAACAGAAACAAACATTTGTGAATAGGTTAAATATGCCAGATTACATTTCCGGTTTTGACTCCAACGACGAAGAAGGTAGAAGTTCCTTCGTACCCTCCTACCTGCACACATATTTCAGCCCTCGTAACAGGCGGTAGAACCTCGGATGCTAACCTCGTGGAACTGTGAATCACTCTCACCCAACTCACCACCTTTCCGGTAGAATGAGCTTTAACAAGGAAGTTTTTATCATGATAAAATGATAAAGAATGATTGTAAGGATTATGCAGAGTGCCTACACGACCTGGAATGGCGAACCTTTCCTGAGGTATCAACAAAAAGAGTCAAATAACATACAACCGCCCAGTTTTGATTCTGGATAGGCCCACATATTAAGGCAGTGAGTAGGTTGAAGATGACTGCGATATCTCTGCAATTCGGAAAGTACAGGAGGCACCCATTAGCAGACAGGCGGTCTCTTCGTACACCATGCGATGTGTATCCTGTGGGCCGATGTCGATGCAGTAGATATCCTTGTGTCAAACCGAGATTGCGTGAGACGTGACTGTCTGATTATACATTTCGATGTTTAAGTGGACGAATGAGATCGGAGCAGTTTTGTGACCGAGATAAGCCTGTCGATCATTTAGGATGAGGCAAACCCATATTCCCCCTTATGACTGAGAGCAATTGTTTAATTTTCGGTTTTAACAATGCACAGCCTCTTCTACAAAGCTATCTACTTAATGTAGGTTTCCAGAAATCCGGAAGTAGAATGGAGAAAAGGCAAAGATAATTCACTGGTGACTTTGATGCCAAATCTCCCCTATCCACAGTGGACAAGGACACTGACCAATAGGTAGAGCACGTCAGATTCAGCTTTTCACTCTAACTTCAACGACGAAGAACATAAGGCATCCTATGTACATTCTTACCCGCAAACATTTCTCCGTAGTGTTTAAAAACCGCTATAGCCCGGATGCTGACCTCAAGGAATGCTGAACCCCACTGGCCCAACTTAACATCTCTCAGGGTTAAAAAACTTTAAGCAAGGAGGTTTCATCATGACCAAAGGGGAAAGAAAGATTTAAAGGGTCACAAAGGAGCCTGCACGACTTGACAAAGTAGGTCATTATGTGGTGCTAACACCAAGAGTGAAACAAATATACTGCTGTCCAATTTATACACCGTATTTACCTATATATTGTGGTCATCCAACTCCACACCATGAATAAATTGTGAACTAGTAAATTTTGTGGTAAAGAAGGGCTAGGAGTTGGCAACGACATCGCGCCCCATCGACAATAAGGATAGAATCGGGGCCGACGGCATAATTTCGTCAACGTTCAGTGAAACCAAATTTGACCTCTCGTGCCCGATTCTAAACGACTCCCATTATTTATTGCTGCTAACCACAGGAAAACCAGTTGCGCGCGCATCCCACTTCCTCCTTAAATTCAGTGCATTTTGATCAGAAGAGAATTCCAGGGCTTTTCCGTTATTTTACGATAAAGCTAAGATTGTCCACAATCTACAAGTTTGGATTCAGACCGAGAAGGGTTGTTACAGGTTACCACAGAAAAGAAAGTCTAAGCGGTGAAGTGTTTGGAATTGGCTTAGGACTCAATCCTTGAAGCTGACTTCCTACTTGGTACAAAGGCCATTCCACAGAGTGCAGAAGGCAACAAACCTGCAGTGGCTTAACCATCGCCGTACCCCAAGTGTCAACGCTATCTCTAATGTCCTATTTGAAAGCATACCTATGCATTCCGACAGCGCGGACCACCTTTACTTACCGTTCAGCCAAGTTTTTAATGAGAGAAGGGAAATTTGGAAGTTACTGATCAGGTACTCAGACGTTTTTACATGGACAATTGTTGAGCTGGATAGAACAAACGTAATAAAAGTTGCGACAGATACCTGAGATGCAACCACAAGGACACATCCCCTCTGTTGAATGGGGCAAGCCACTGATTCGACGAGATTTGGAAAGAAGTCTACTAAGTTGTCATGGGTATCAGGAACTGCTTTGGTTAAGAAAAGGAAAGGAGGCCTCCGTCTATGCTTTGATTGCAGGAAATAGGTATTACTTTGAAAGAATGCTATTTGCTAACCCCTCATACGGGTCAATTGAAAATTTATGCATTCCAAGAGTTGGTGATAGGATCTTACATTGCAGTGGTCACTTCTCGACAAACCTGGTTGGACTAATCCCGAGACATTGGTTGGCACACCACCTGTCGAGACGTTTAGGAGCATTAAATAGTCTACAACTCTGCCCAAGGGAATGATAGTTTCTGCAGCGCTCCATCACTATCTTGGTCCAAACTGCCTCGACAAACAGAACGGCGATGACAGCGGATAACACAAATTAAGTCAGGACCGGGCCATCACCAACCAATCAGACAGAGGTCCTTATTTTTCTAGGCGTAGCAGGCTACCACCGACTTTTTGCTAGGTTCGCCCTATCACTTCAAACAGTTCCGAAAGATGTCTAAGAGAGAGAGTGAGTACGCCAAAGCATTTCAAATAGTGTATAAAATTCTTTGTTGTCCACCAATTCGGGTTACGCATAGTTTCGATTCAGGTGTCTCGGTAGCGCTTCAAGACACTGGAGGTAGTAGTACAGCAGGGGAGGGTGCAGTAGGGAACACGTCATTGTCTACACGAGTGGCAGAGTAAAATATAAGTGGATGAGACAGACAAGTGTCACTCAGTGAGAAAAACCGTCAAATACTGTCACAGTAATCAGACATTCTAGACATTACCCAACAGCTGGGGCGGCCATATTGGGAACAAATAATCAGGGCTTGAGCTAGTTGTTTGGAATGAAAGAAAGGTCACTCGGTAGCGCGTTGTTGTGGGGACTTGCAACAATATGATTACAGGGTGCAATCGAGAAAAGGCAATGGAAATGTTAAGGCAAATGCCTTCTCTGCTGGAGCAGACCTCGTAAGAACTAGTGTCCCTTCCACAAATTTTACTAATCAGATCAATTCCACTAAATTCCAGCCAGGTGCTGGTCTTGATGTGGGCATTGTGCGTAAGAGATGCCCTACATCTCCTTACAAATCCAAAAAACAAGAGTTGGCACTGGCCATAGTGAGTAAGCTTAGATGGCTGAAGTGGTCTAAAATGTCCTTGGAATATGCGGTTCTATTATACAAAGATCGGTTCGGAGAACCCAAGTGCCCAGCAATTTCAAAACTTATACCATAGAGAAAGGAAAAAAGACGCGACTAGTAGAGTAGAATATGCTCCTCAGGGCACAAGTCTATTTTGCTAGACTGCCATTACCTATAGCAGATTCCCAGCTCCCCGCTCCACAGCGATGGCACTACATCAACTCCTGCCTGCACGGCCTTCAAAAGTGAGAGAGAGAGACTCAACATTGGCACTTTATGTTTCCTATTGACGTGCACTTTAATGATGGATTGTTCTGTGAAATCTACCTAGGCAGGAGCTTAGAAGGCCCAAGAAGCTGAAGCAATCACCTTCAAATCCAGGCATACAACTTATGTTATAGTCGGTGTCGCCCTGTATATGAGACTAGTCGATACATCCACCAATCTTTTGCCCTTCAGAATATTATTTACCTTATATTTTTTTATTAAACTTTGGGGAATGGAATGGCGGTGCTCCAAAATTCGCACTCAGACTGAAATTAGCGGTGAGGTGAAAGTTCATCCAAGCTCACTGTGTGCCAGGCATAAAATATTTCAAAAACCGCAAACAACCTAACGTCTATCAGTAAGGAGATCTAGCCCAGCTCTGTAGACCTGTCCCAAGCCTTTCAGCACATTGTAAATCCTATTAAACTTGAAGCAGAAATGTGGCTGGAGTGATAAGGACCATATCACCAAATTACTTGGTCCACAATACACAATTCCGTCCATATCCAGTCACACTCCACCATGGTATAATGCGCCCCCATTAAGGCACCCCATTGGTTGGTTACGAGGATGATGTCCAGATGCCAGTGTTGCCTTTCCGCTGGCCTATATACATAAGTGTCACTGTATGGGCGCGTCCAAATGTTGGACGTGGTGATACAATGACTACTACATTACTCCCTCCTAAAGCGTGATATTGCGGAACCCAGAACTGAAATTGTGCGATCAACGCCTGAATGCAGCACAAATATCCGTGAGGGCGGAGCGAAAGGGACCGCAAGTATTGCAAAAGGTACTTTTGGGGAGTTAAAGACATCGGGTGCGGATAGAACTGTCCACGAATGCTGACGATGCTCCGATGGTGACCGGGTCCTTTGTACCGTCGTGATTATTGTTGGAATACTTGTCACGCCGTTCCTGCACAATAGATGAACTGTTGTAGGATGAATGCAAGAGTGGCGGAACGGCATCAACTCCTAAAAGCAAAGAAAGAATAAGAAAATTTCGAGTGGATTTGTGGGGGGTGCATGAGTGGATGCGGAGAAGTTGATGTTTGGTGGCGCATGTGATACTTGAGGCGAGATGCGTATGAAGTAGGATCAGCTTCGCTAGTGGTAAAAACCTGGATAAGTATTTCAT